GGTAGTAATTCCACCAAGGCGCTGGACTCACCATCAGAAATCCAAGATTCCGTGACAAACAGAAAATCCAACTCCTCATCTTTAATAAAGTCATTGAGGACAAACGTCTTGTTGGAAACAGACCTTGGGTTGATTAAACACATCCTGATAGGGTCCAACGCAGACACAGCCGTGGAGGGAGAAGCGCGCGCCAGCGGGCGCAGGTTAAGAAGAACAGCTCCTCCAGGTCTGCTGGTGCGGCGCACAGGTAAACAACTCCAGGTTGTAAGGATGGTATTATTTGCTGTTTGTGTCTGTTTTCTCGTCAGTTTAATTGGTGTCACCTTTGTCTCGTCACAGCTGTTGTAATCACGTCTTGTCTTGTCCTTGTATATAAGCCTCCTGTCCTGTGTTGTTCCTTTGTCGGTTCGTCGTTGGGTATTGCCTGTCCTGTCCTGCCTGTGTGATCTTGTTCTTGAGTCCATGTAAGTTTTGCTGCCATGTCAGCCTTTTGATTTATTATTATTATTATTATTAAAAGTATTTTTATTTTATACATCTGCCTCTTGAGTCCTGCCTGCGCAACTGGGTTCTCCTGTTCTAATCTGCCTTGAAAACCCTGACACAGGTGTTTACATGGGCTGAGCGCACGGGCAGCTGGCCAGCAGCCGAACCCCGAGAGCACCACGGGTCAGAGAGGAGAGGATCAGATCCAGAGCGAGTCCTGGTAGAATAATCCACACTTTGCCTCAGTTTCACCAAAATCCCTGCACGCTTCCCACAACGTCTGCAATGTTTCCTCCATGGAGAAAGGCCAGGGTCACGCAGAAGGAATGCAGGAATCTCAGACAGGACCGGTAGAGGAGAGTGCTGACCGCTGTACAAAAACTCCTGTTGGATTTCATATTTTTATACCTTTTATTATTTCCTATCAAGCATTCAAATGTCATGTTATACAAAGGGTGTGTGTGTCTTTCTTCCAGGGTTGCACTATATTTATAGAAAATGCTTACTAATTCTAACTAGTTTACCTTTACATATAATCTTATATTAGCTAATGATATTTTACAAGTTCACATTTGATATATTACAAGCAATCAAATCATGCCAGATAGCAGACGGATTAACATAAATAAAGCTAGAACACATTTCTTTAATTTAGACTTAATATAGTTTGACTAAATAAAATCCCTCAGGTTCTCTCTTAATAATAACCATTAACATTTAATCATTGTTGAATACAGGGTCGGTTTAGCTGAAAGGACACAGGGTTAATTGTCACAGTAAGCTACAACAGCAACTAAACTAAAAAGTATAAAAAGGGATCAAGTAAGAACACGCAAACATGAGTTAGATAATAATTAATAGTTATTAATTATAATTAATAGTTATTAATTATTCCTAGAAATAAACAACTTTAACTCAAATCATTTGGTATCACTAAGGTATAATCACGTTAAACAAACGGCTAAAACGAACAATTTCAGTGTGCCATAAACTTTTAACTAACGTCCTTCAGGGGGCGGGCTAAACCAGTAACCATGGCAACTGAAGGGATAAACCAATCAGAAGAGCTAGCTTTTCCCTGCTTTTATAAAAGCCAGAAATGACACACGCTCATCGGGCATTTCCGGGGAAGACCAGACCGAGACGGTTCGTTCTTTAATGCTCCAAATATATGCATATATTTCTGTAATGTAATTGTTTGTCTCTGAATATCTGTAACCCCTGTTTGTCAAATAAATCTTTTATACCGAAGGCGATGTCTCAGCTGTTTTGAACACGACGTGGTAACCAGCCACGACACTCCGCAGGCATATCAGCAAATGTACGGAGCTCCAAAAGTGCCCGACGATCATACTGAAAATATGACTCGGCACACTGCACAAACCATTGTAAAAATAACAAAAATACAATACAAGCAGAGAGCGAGAGACGGGCAGCCCTACACACAGGCGCCATCTTGGAAAAAAAAAAAATAATAATAATAATTGTACTAATACTTGTAGCCCCCCGACTTGATGCCTGTGTATTAGAGTTTTCCCCAGTAGATGAGAGGGTGGCTTCCCTTCGTGTGGGAGGATGGGCTCTGACTGTTGTCTGTGCCTATGCACTGAACGGCAGTTCGGAGTATCCGGCCTTCTTGGAGTCCTTGCCAGGGGTGCTGGAAAGTGCGCCAGCTAGGGACTTCTTTATTCTGCTGGGGGACTTAAATGCCCATGTGGGTAATGATTGTGTGACCTGGAGGGGTGTGATTGGGAGGAATGGCCTCTCTGATCTGAACCAGAGCAGTGTTCTGTTGTTGGACTTCTGTGCTAGTCATGGTTTATCCATCACAAACACCATGTTCAAACATAAGGGTGTCCATAAGTATATTTGGCACCAGGACGCCCTAGGTCGTAGATTGATGATAGACTTCATAGTCGTGTCATCTGATTTGCGGTCGTTTGTTTTGGATACTCAGGTGAAGAGAGGAGCTGAGCTGTCAACTGATCAGCACCTGGTAGTGAGTTGGATCAGATGGCGGGGGAAGAAGCCAGACAGACCTGGTAGACCCAAACGTGTACTGAGGGTTTGCTGAGAACACCTGGCAGAAGAACCTCTCAGAAAGATCTTCAACTTGCACCTCCGGGAGAGCTTCAACTGCATCCCAGCTGAGGTGGGGGACATTGAGTCTGAGTGGGTCATGTTCCGCACCTCACTTGTTGAGGTAGCTGCCTTGAGCTGTGGCCGCAAGGTTGTCAGTGCTTCTCGTGGTGGCCATACACGAACTCGGTGGTGGACATCCCGGGTTAAGGAGGCTGTCAAGCTAAAGAAGGAGTCCTATCGGGCCTTGTTGACCAGTGGTACTCCGAAAGCAGCTGAGGAGTACCGGAGGGCCAAGTGGTCCGCAGCCTTGGCTTTTTCTGAGGCAAAAGCTCGGATGTGGGAGGAGTTTGGTGAGACCTTGGATAACGACTCTCGGTCGGCTCCGAGGAGATTCTAACAAACCATCAGATGGCTGAGGAGGGGAAAACAGCACTTTACTAACACTGTATTCAATGAAGGTGGGGTGCTGTTGAATTCAAAAAGTGATGTTGTTGGGAGGTGGAAGGAATACTTCTTGGACCTTCTCAATCCCACCAGCACATCTTCCATGGAGAAAGCTGAGTCGGGGGACTTTGGGGTTGATCCATACATAACTGTGGCTGAGGTCGCCAAGGTAGTTAAAAAACTCTGAGGTGGTACGGCTCCGGGAGTGGATGAGATTCACCCTGATTTCCTTAAGGCTTTGGATGTTGTGAGGCTGTCTTGGTTTACGCGCCTTTGCAATGTTGCGTGGACATCGGGGGCAGTACCATTGGGTTGGCCAAGTGGGGTGGTGGTTCCCCTTTTCAAAAAGGGGGACCGGAGGGTGTGCTCCAATTATAGGGGCTTTACTCTCCTTAGCCTCCCTGGTAAGGTCTATTCAGTGGTATTGGAGAAGCGAGTCCGATCGTTGGTTGAACCTCAGATCCAAGAGGAACAATGTGGGTTCCGTCCAGGTCGTGAAACACTAGATCAGCTCTTTACCCTCACTAGGGGCAACTGTGGCTGAGTGGTTAGAGCAGTCGTCCTCCAATTCGAGAGTTGGGGGTTCGGATCCACCAGCAGTCACATGTTGAATTGTCCCTGGGCAAGACACTGAACCTCTCATAGCCTCTGATGTGTGTCCCATCACTGTATGAATGTGATCTAAAGCACTGATTAGTCTCATTAGAATGATTTGTTCCATTAGCTTTGTAGAGATCTAGTAGAGTGCTGTATGAATCGGTAAATGAGGACACAGATTGTAGTGCAAAGCGCTTTGAGTATCTTGAAATAAGATAGAAAGGCGCTATATAAGTACAGTCCGTTTACCATTTAGGGTCCTCGAGGGGTCATGGGAGTTTGTCCATCCTGTCTACATGTGTTTTGTGGATTTGGAGAAGGCATTCGACCGTGTTCCTTGGGGTACACTGTGGGGGGTGCTCCTTGAGTATGGGATGGGGGCCCTTTGCTACGGGCTGTTCAGTCCCTATACAAGTGGTGTGATAGCTTGGTTCGCATTGCCGGCAGTAAGTCAGACCCCTTGAGGGTGGGAGTTGGACTCTGGCAGGGCTGCCTGTTGTCACCGATTCTGTTCATAACTTTTATGGATAGAATTTCTCAGTGCAGCCAGTGGGCGGAGAGTTTTTGGTTCAGTGGCCTCAGGATTCCATCTCTGCTCTTTGCAGATGATGTTGTCCTGCTGGCGTCATCGTGCCGTGATCTTCAGCTCTCACTGGAGCGGTTCGCAGCCAAGTGTGAAGCGACTGGGATGTGAATCAGCACCTCCAAATCTGAGACCATGGTCCTCAACCAGAAAATGGTGGATTGCTCTCTCAAGATCGAGGGTGAGGGTCTGGCTCAAGTGGAGGAGTTCAAGTATCTTGGGGTTTTGTTCATGAGTGAAGGAAGAATGGAGCGTGAGATTGACAAACGGATTGGTGCAGCATCTGCAGTATTGCAGACTCTGTAATGGTCCGTTGTGGTGAAGAGAGAGCTGAGCTGTCAAGCAAAACTCTCTTTCCAATGGCCGGTCTACGTTCCTACCCTCACCTATGGTCACGAGCTCTGGGTAGTGACCGAAATAACGAGATTGCGCATACAGGCGGTTTAAATTAATTTCCTCTGCAGGGTAGCTGGACTCTCCCTTAGAGATAGGGTGAGAAGTTCGGTTATCTGGGAGAGACTCGGAGTAGAACCACTGCTCCTCAACATTGAAAGGATCTAGTTGAGGTGGTTTGGGTATCTGGTACGGATGTCCCCTGGTGCCTCCCTAGGGAGGTGCTTTGGGCATGTCCAACTGGGGGAAGACCCAGGACACGCTGGAGAGACTATGTCTCTCGGCTGGCCTGGGAATGCCTTGGAATCTTCCCAGAAGAGCTGGAAGAGGTGGCTGTGGAAAGAGATGTCTGGGCTTCCCTGTTCAAGTTGCTGCCCTGTGACTTGACTTCAGAACAAGTGGAAGTTAATGGATGGATGGATGAATTGAGTGTAGTTTAACCAGTTTTTGAGGAATGGAACCATAAGTGTTGACCAGGTTCAGTCACAGCAGAGCTACCTTGAAATGTTTCTAAACTGTATGAAGTTCCTGGTGTTTTCCTCCTTTGACATTCTAGTTTGGAGAACATCGGTTACCAAAGGACGGTAAATCTTACACAGGTTTCTGTTCCTCACCTGAGAGTTTGTAGTTTGCAGTGTGGACTCTTCAGTCCATCAGATAAAACCTTCACTCCAGAATTCCACAGGTTGTTGTTCCTCAGATCTAGGTATCTAAGACTGGACGATACAGAGCTGAGTACCATAGACAGAGCTCTACAGTTTCTCTTAGAAAGGTTACAGTCACTCAACCTATAAAGACAATGGCAAGAAAACAAATAAGTTCAACTATTCAGAAAATAACAATTGACTATCAACAAATTCTTGTTTATTTTAAATGACCTAAATATGAAGTGTGTAAAATCCTAGCTATAATAGACAGAAATCCAGTAGAACCAGGGTTAAAAAGTTAATCTTACACAGGTCTCTGATCCTCACCTGAGAGTTTGCAGTTTGCAGTGTGGACTCATCAGTCCATCAGATAAAAGCTTCACTCCAGAATCCCCCAGATTGTTGTTGCTCAGATCCAGGTATGTAAGACTGGAGGATACAGAGCTGAGTATTACAGACAGAGCTCCACAGCTTCTCTCAGCGAGGTTACAGTCACTCAATCTATAAAGACAATGGTAAGAAAACAAATAAGTTCAACTATTCAGAAAATAACAATTGACTATCAACAAATTATTGCTTACACTGATTGTTGGGTTGCTCTTTTGTCTTCTTGTGTTTATACTGTATATTGTCAACTAAATTGAGGCATTTCACCTGTGAGAAGATTAGCAAAGGTTGTATGATGTGTGAAGTTGGGTGGCAGGTGTGCTTGGGGTCTTAGATATGCAGATTCCCAGCATCATAAACTAGTTTTGGATAAATGGAATGGCATCTTACTGGCAACAAAGGAGCAGGAGCTTCTGTATGAGGTTGATTTTTACCAACTGGATATTATTGTGCTCACTTTCATTGTATTGCCTTTGCTGTGAAACTCAGCTACTGGAGAGGGGCTGGACACTCTCCTGCTTCAGAGTTGCACAAGGAGAGGTGCTGGGTGAGTTTGGGATACTCACAAGATCTCAGCAAAGCACCTCAGTGTTGGAATTTTCCCTGTTCAACAAGATGGTTATATGTGTGGCTCTAAAGTGCAAGAGGGATCTCCTGATGCATGCTCAATAATCCAGGTAGAAAAATCTAAAAAAAGTTAAATCTGGTCCTCTGGACATTCAAAAAAACAAAACAAAGCAAAACAACAAAAAAATGTAGAAACGTTTCGTCTCTCATCCGAGAGACTTCCTCAGTCTGAGGTGCTGTATTCAGCTCAGTCTCTTAAATAGCACCGTCTCAGGATGGATCAACCAGTTTTGCTGCTGACAACCAAAACCAGCTGATCACATGCTCAAGAAGGACCATCAGCCTAACAATGGATCATTAGCACACTGATGGCTGTTTACTATTCACAGAGGGCTGAGTGATACTAGCAATCACAGCATTGTAAGAGGGGGACAATTGAACATGTAGGCCTCCACCCCTGTTTAATGATGGACAATTTATTTTCACAAAGTTGGCCTCCTTTACTCCTCTCTCAAACCATCGTTCCTCTCTATCCAGGATGTGCACATCTTCATCCCTGAAAGAGTGACCGCTGGCCTGGAGATAAGTGTAGACCGCAGAGTCCTGGCCTGATGATGTTGATCTTCTGTGCTGGGCCATCCTTTTGGCCAGTGGCTGTTTTGTTTCCCCGATGTAAGACTGATCACAGCCCTCCTGACACTGAACAGCATACACAACATTGCTCTGTTTGTGCCGGGGGACTGGATCTTTGGGATGAACCAGTCTTTGCCGTAATGTATTTTGGGGTTTAAAAGCCACTGGGACATTATGTTTAGAAAATAAACGTCTCAGTTTCTCTGATACTCCCTCAACATATGGAATGACCACTGGTCTGGGTCTGGGTTCCTCCTTTTCACCTGTTGGCTGACTGGAGTCCTGTTTGGGTTTCTTCTCTGCTTTCAGGAAGGCCCAGTTAGGATATCCACATTGCTCTAGACCCTGTCTTGTGTGGGATTTCTCCTTCTGCCTGGCTCCTGAGCTAGTGGGGACGCTGTCTGCTCTGTCATCAGGAGTCATCAGGACTCTGTATCAGTGTCAGGAGGGCTGTGATCAGTCTTACATCGGGGAAACAAAACAGCCACTGGCCAAAAGGATGGCCCAGCACAGATCAACATCATCAGGCCAGGACTCTGCGGTCTACACTCATCTCCAGGCCAGCGGTCACTCTTTCAGGGATGAAGATGTGCACATCCTGGATAGAGAGGAACGATGGTTTGAGAGAGGAGTAAAGGAGGCCATCTTTGTGAAAATAAATCGTCCATCGTTAAACAGGGGTGGAGGCCTACGTGTTCAATTGTCCCACTCTTACAATGCTGTGATTGCTAGTATCACTCAGCCCTCTGTGAATAGTAAACAGCCATCAGTGTGCTAATGATCCATTGTTAGGCTGATGGTCCTTCTTGAGCATGTGATCAGCTGGTTTTGGTTGTCAGCAGCAAAACTGGTTGATCCACTCTGAGAAGGTGCTATTTAAGAGACTGAGCTGAATACAGCACCTCAGACTGAGGAAGTCTCTTGGATGAGAGACGAAACGTTTCTACATTTTTTTGTTGTTTTGATTTGTTTTGTTTTTTTGAATGTCCAGAGGACCAGATTTAACTTTTTTAGATGCAAGAGGGGTGTTTCTGATTTGTTTGTGCTGGTTCATCAAACAGCAGTTCAGATTACTGTTTCCTTGAAGTCCACGAGTGGTGTTCTGAAAGAGGTGCCATATGCATACCTGCCAACCATTTCAATTTGGGCAGGACAGTCCTGGAACTTGATCTCCCGCCCCTGTCCTGTCCTGCCTCCTACATAAAGAGGGACAGGCTACCCAAATGCTTCACACAGTGCTGGATTGGTATATTTGTGAATGAAAATTTTGCTACCATGCCATGTCTGTGTGGAAAAAGGGATAGATACATGCATTTATAAAACCATATCTGGTAAAACCCAACTTTAATTCTGTTCATTACTCAACATTTGTAGCATCATTCGGATGTTCTGCTCCAGCAGTTATATTAACTTATGTATTTCTAAGGCACTTCCTTAGACAATTCATCATTTCAGGTTTCTGCTGCTAATGAATGGAACCATCCATCCATCCATTATCTTTACCCGCTTATTCCATTTTGGGTCACGGGGGTCGCTGGTGCCCATGTCCAGCAATCACTGTGTGAGGGTCGGGGTACACCCTGGATGGGTCGCAAGTCCATCACAGGGCCACATAGAGACAAACGAGACAAACAACCATTCACTCTCTCATTCACACCTAGGGACAATTTAGAGTTACCAATCAGCCTAACATGCATGTTTTTGGTCTGTGGGAGGAAACCGGAGCACCTGGAGAAAACCCACGCATGCACGGAGAGAACATGCAAACTCCACCCAGAAAGGCCCCCGGACCGGGGTTTGAACCAAGGACCTGCTCGCTGAGAGGCAGCAGCTCTACCAGTTGCGCCACCGTGCTGCCCATGAATGGAACCACTGACCGTAAAACTTGTTTCTTTTTTTCATATTTTCAAAGCATTACTTCATGACCATTGCACATGCTTTTATCAATTTGCTCTTCAGTCTTTGTTGTTTTTTTCTTGTACCATGAAACTATTCTAGCTCTTTGACTGCTATTCATACCCATGGTCTGTACAATTTTATGTTTGGCTGTCAGATGTTAATATGTTTTCCTTCTTCTGTCCTACCACTTGTGTACTTGTTGCCTCTTAGCTAGGTTGTCATTGAAAAGGAGAATTTGTTCTCAACTGAATAATCTGGATAAATAAAGATAAAAAATAAATAAATAAATAAAAAGGGGAGCCATGTGGTGGGCCTCCTGCAACAGTGGGAGTGAGATATAAGTATAATACAACGTAATAATAATGTATAATATAATAAGCATATATTGAATGTAAAGTGCAACTTCTCAGCTTTCAGAAACCGTTGAAATTTTTTTAATAGCTTTTTGATTATGGAAGCAAAACTTGTGAGTGAGATGATTTCAAAGCGGCTAATGAGAAGGACTTTTAGTTGTCCACAAGGACAACTTGGCAAACAGTTCAACAACTCTGTGGCATAATCTGTTCTTTTGTCTGTTTTCTTTGTGTTTCTATTGTCTTTATTTTATTTTGTGATCCTTGTGTTGTTACTCTGTTCCCTGCCATTCTTCACCCACTTTTCAGCCTGTCTCTCCAGCCACTCATCCCTCACACCAGTTGCCAATCAGTAATCATCCCAGGTGCACTCGTTTCTCACTCTACCGCTGTCTTATTTAAACCTCCCTTGTTCACCACGAAGATGTCCGCTCATTGTTCTGTACAGCTACAAATGTCCCAGTCCTCCTCAGTCTGCCTTGTTCTTGTTCGCCCTGTGATTTGTCCTGTCGAGTTCCTGATCTGTGTAAGTTTTGCTGCCACATCAGCTTTTTGTATTTATTGTTTAATAAATTCCTTTTTGTTTAACTCCTGCTCTCCTTGTCTGCTTGCATTTGGATCTAAACTACGAGGATTGCGATAGAATGAGGGGACGCGACCCAGACCCACAGGAAGTTTGCTCTTTGTGGAGCTCACATAAAGAATATTTGGATACCATGGCCACACCCTGTGATCCTTCAAGACTTTGTGGAGCTATTTCTCCAGTTGCTAGGACTGGCCAATGTACCAGGGATGTATGAAATGTTTGAGGATGCATGAACAAAGAGACAGGCTTTGCACTCTCTTCTCCTGCTGCCTGCTACTCTGCCCCCTGGCCATCTTTTAGTCTCTCCTCCGAGTCTGTGAGAATGGTTCCACCTACAGACCTGCGTCCATGCTTCTCAGTGGGTGTTGAGGATGACATCTCACCTCCATGTTGCTAAGTGGGTATCAAGGACGACAACCCACCTTCTTGTCTTCCTCCTCACCATCACCGCAAGAGGGGCTGACAACAAAACCAAGCCGGGTCCACTGAAAGCCAAGACCTCTCTCTGCCTGAATTGGCCATGCCACAAGAGGCACCAGCACCCCATCAGCCAAGTCCTGCTCAGCCAAGTCCTGGCCAGTCAACGGAACAGCAAAGTCCTGTTCAGCAGTGGAAACAGCCAAGCCTGCCTTCCTGTGTCTCTTCAGTGGTTCCTGACTCTTCAGAGGTCCCTGAGTCTTCAGCAGTCCCCAAATCTTCAATAGTCCCCGAGTTTT